ATGTCCTTCATTTAAAAATTGAATTATTATGAGCATTATGAGGTATAAGGAGCTGATTGGAACAAGTTCTGGAGATTTTTATGTTTTTTAAAGGTTATGAATGATTAAATCCTATTGATAAGTCAGTTTTAGTTGGCTAAAGCTGTCTACAAAACTAAAATGTTTATCTTGTGTTGATATAATCGACAAAAAAGTAAATAACCTATGGACTTTAAGTTCTATACTTATTGAATCCAACTTATTACATTAAATTCCATTTAAAATCAAACATTCTTCATCAAACTGACTTGCTTAGACTTCAAGAAATCCTAACCCCCCAAATATTATCAAGACTTCAAACTTTTTATTTTAATGAGTTGAAATATACTTAAATTCATTCTCATGAACAACTTCATTCTAAGAAAAATAGATTTTTCCTCTACAGACTCTATCGCAAGCACATACAAGCAATTAAATGTTTATTTAAGTAAATAATATTCACAAAAATATTATTTTTTTTTTCTCATTGAAATGTGAACTATATGAGAAAATAAAATGCACATATTTCTCTCATTGTAAAGAAATGAACGTCCATCATCGCTTAAAACATTTTTCAAAAAAAAAAGTACAATTGTAACAAGTTTCTTGTCCTTGAAGTATATTTTCTGAATAATGTAGTAAAATAAATGTTTTAGAAAGTCAAAAAGCGCAGTTTTTTTTTTCATTCTTGCTTTTTGCTTTCGTTCTTCTTTTTCTTAAGTATGAGACACGTTTTTGTGGTATGGCTTCAATAATTAAGAGGGATGAGGTAGTTTTGGATATATTTTTTTTTTGTAGATTTTAAAGATAATGCATAATGTGAATAACAATTTACAAATTTCAGAATAAAACTGAAATTAAAGTGAATTAACATTCTAGCCATTCTTCCTATTAAACAATTTTAACATTAAGGTTCAAAACATGAAAGGATTTTTTAAAAACAATAAAATCGTCACTAAAATGATCAAATTCCATTGTCACACCCTACAGAATATTTCTCACAAAAAAAATTGATTAATATAAAGTATTTAAAACATCAGTAACGCCAACAAGGAGATCAGAATTTTCCTATCCTCCGAAGCATGGAGCATGAGGGAAAAAAATCTACTATGAACGCACAAAAAGCACGCAAACGTAAAGTGAAAATCTAAAAATAGAACTTGATACTTTCGCATACAAAACACGAGCGATAGAGATGGCATGAGAAGAAATGTATATAAAAAATGATTTTCTTATTCGCTTATAAGTGACTAAAAATAAAGGAAAGAAAAAATATTTTTCAATAAAATTACAAAAAATATTGCTGAAATTCACTTTTTTTGCTACGATCTAATAATTATCCTGTCGATTACTCGAGAAATTAGCATGAAAGGTGTAATTTTACTATCATCAGTTAAAGTTTATGACTTGAAACTTGATCCGTCAAATTAGAATTTGAGGAGATAATTGACTGTCAAAATAACTCGAGAATAATAAACTTGAAATTGTGTAAAAAAAAGTCTATTTAAAATACATATGTTCATGATGAAAAATGTCATAGATTATATTTTTAAAAAAACTTTTTTAACACCACAGAAATAAATAGATTAAAATTGGGTGAAGAGTTTTGTAATTCGATGAAGTTAACTTAATTTTTTTTTAAAAAAAAAATCCAATTTTATCTCTGTTCGTTGTCTAAAATTATTCGATTAAAATTTTCGACTGTGATTTAGTGCAGAATTTTTCATTCATTTAAATCACGTTTATTTATACATTTTTAAATATTTTTGTTGAAAAAAATTCGCATACATTTTCATCAATTTTTCTATTTTCTGATGACATGAAAACTCTTTTAATATTAAGTCACAAGATATGATACTTTAACTTGATGTATGAAATTGATATCAAGGGTTAAGGAGTTATATTGGTTTAAAAATAGCTTCGCTGGAAACTTCTCCAAAATTTGATAGACTTAAAAAATCTGAATTAATCAAAATTTGTTTACTAATTTCCAAACGATACAATTTTAAAGCCATAAAATACACAAAACATTTATGCACGAAAGCTATATCAATGCAGTTTTATTAGGTCAACAATGACGTCATTCGTACATCAGTGCAGCTCTTTTATCGCAAGACTGAAAATAGGTAGGAAAATTTTACAGTTCATCAAACTTTTCGACCTTTTATTTAGATTTGAGTATGCAAATATATTGACGTATGTCATGAGTATGGATTATTTATTCTTAATAGCTTTAAGGAATTAAAGAATCACATAAAAATGTTTAAATTCCAAGAAACAACAAAATTTTCTAATTCTATATAAAAATTGAGTGTATTAACCTCTTTAAATGCAGGATATGTATTAGAAGCGAAGCACTAGAAACAACAAAAAAACATAGGAATGCTTCCACTTATTACAACTATCCACACTATTTGAAATATGAATCGTTTAATTGTCTTAAGATCAATTTTCATAAGTTCATTTTGATTCTTAAAATGTAGCGATTCCTTGTGTTATTCTAAGCATTTTACGATTGTATTCGATAATTAGGATGACTGCGATGCTTAACAAATTAGAGCGCTTATGAATTCCTTTTAAAAAATTACTTTAGATTGATCGGAAGAAGTTCTTGAAAATAACTTAAGTTATATCTTTTAATACTGAATGTTATTTCTTATCAGAACTGTTGGAATGATCTACACAGTTTAACATATTCACTTACCATCCTTTTGCTTTCCTGCAATTTTTTGGTCTAATAATCAAATTAAAGTTAAATTTTGGTCTAATAATTAAATCAAAGATATATCTTCAAGATTAAAGCGGGTGTTCAATTTTTTTCATCATGATATTTGAAAAATTCATATCCGTTAAAATGTTAACTAGCAATTCTAATTCCACCAATAGTTTTAAGGATAATGAACCGTCAAAACGGTAATTAAAATATTTTGTTTCACCAAAAATGAGCTAAATTCTAAAGTTATTTGTATGAGAAAAATAAATATGTTTTTTACAGTGCACCGATACCTTACAAGTTATGTTCTATTTCCATTTCACGTGTCTCATATCCTCAACGTTAGGATTTACAATAGAAAGAAATGCTATTTTTCAGCACAGAGTCTAAATATATAAAATCATTTAAATTTCTTCTCATTCTCAAACTTTTATGGCATTTGCAATCAAAAATTGTTCTTAAGTCTGCACCATTTCTATTTTCGGAAATTAAAGTAAAATATTGAGATAATAAGCCCTGAATACGCGGCTGGATAAGATATTGATAATTCAAAACCCCCATTGACATTCGATACGAGTAGCCATAAAGAGCATAAACTAATGTGATAAAAATTGTACAGCACTTTTAAATATTCAATTCGTTCAGAACATTGAGCCTATTAGCGTATTGGTTTTCATTCTATTTTTCAAATAACAATAAACTCATAATTCCTTTCAACAAAAAGGAAAGCTTATAGGACATGAAGTCTGTGAAAGGAAACCATTTAATTGCTATAAAAGGAAATAAATTTATTAAAAATTATTCAGTTTCGTGTCTCTCGTTTAACTGTTAAAATCGTATTCTTGCGCTATATAGAATCAGAACTAAATTGTGTGCAAGTGTGGAAGTTCCCTTTAATTAAAATTTCAAGACTTAAAGTTGTTTTTTTTATTATAAAAGTATCGCGCTACTTTTAATTCAACATCTGAAAAATATTACATTATTAAATATTAGTGAATTTTTATGTTTCATATTATTCGTGTGTAATATGTGACTATATCATCAAGTGATATTGATTGATTCTCGACTTATAAATTACCAATACGACATGGATAATTGTATGGACATGACAGCAATTTTAAAAAGAATATTATTAAATATGTATTCATAAATTTAAGATAATTAGGTAAAATGTGCATGGATGATTTAAAAACTTTTTGTCCCATTCTAAGTTGATGAATTTTTTAAGGATTGAACATGAAACATTATTAAAATTTTTTCATTAAGCTTATAAGAATTTCAAAATACAATCAGCAAAATCACAGATTTTAAGTGATTAATAAGAAACATTCCATCAACATTAAAAAAGAAGTAAGTCCACACTCCCATCTCGGGGAGTTGTTCTTTCATGGGACTATTCACATATTACGAAAACCGAAAACATAGTCTTGAACCACTTCCTCCTCAATTATTTAAAATTAAAACGATTTCTTTCGTGACTATCGTGTGTGTAATGAAATACTACAAAATTAGTCTCTTGAGAATATTACAAGTTTCATAACTCAACTGCCTACAACATTTCCATCCCTTCCATCATCGTATAACGGAAGAAACTGTTTAAATGTTAATAATTCAGAAAACCACAAAGGTGGATTCTTTTAAATTATAAATCAATAGATTTTCCATGTGTGGACATAAAATGTATGGGGTTGATACCATAAAATATATTGGATATACTCAAAAGTGAAGTGAAAGTTACTGATGACATTTATTGAGGAGAGACAACAGTCAATTGACAAACATTTATGTTTCGAATCAGGATGAGCTGCTTCACATCACAATGGAATAAATTAAGAGAACCCATTGTGCGTGTTTGACAGCGGCTTACCTTGATAAGATAATCATCAGGTAGTTAAATGACTATCATCATGTACGAGATACATTGGAACAGAGTTTAAAAAGGTTTCAGGTTTTGAGGTAAATACTTTTGATTTGAAATGATGAAGGGTGTTAAAAAATAGTTTAATTGATGCTTAAATACATTTTTGACTTACCTGGACTGATTTCTCTGGGCTATCCATTTTACTTTCACTTTAAATTTTAACCGTTTTCAATTTTCAACTTTAAGAAAAAAAATTCAAACCTTACTACGATAATTTTATGAAATACTCAAGTAAAACCCAATAATTTTGAAAATCAAAAAGCTGTTGAATATTTAAAAATGAATTAATCAATTTCTCGATATTGTGCACAGCAATACAATTTATTATGAACTGTTTTAGAACGTTATGAAATATATATATTTTTATATTTAATAAGCTTAATTCAATTTAATGTATAATATTATTTTGTTTTTCAGATTCCAAATCTCTCGTAATTATTAATAGTAATGATCAGTCAAAGTTCTGAGTAATTTTCAACAAAAATTTTCTTATAAACTCCAAGCGAGTTGATTTTATATGTAGCAATAAGTTCCTTTTTCAACTCAACGTAGTTGTTAAGGATATCAAGTGCAAAGTCCTGCATTACTAGCTGAATATCTGATAAGAAATCACAAAATAGTACGGGTTCTTCGTTATCCTTAATGCGTGTTGAGCAGATTTGACTTCTTTGAATTAAACTAGCTTTTTGCTGATCGAAGCCTTCATAATATCGAATTTTTAATGGAACTTGTTCTCTTTCTAGCTTATCGTGATATTCCTCGAATTCTCGTTTCAGTGAAGTGTACTTTTCAAGTCCCGGAAGAATCTCATCAAGAGAACTAAAATAATTAAATCATAAATGAACATAAATGATTAAAAAATAAGAAAACTCGATCCTCACTTCTCCATTGTTATTAATGTAATTTTCAGATCTCTAAAGCAGTTGATGCTCTTTTTAATAAAGTTAACCTTCGGTCCATAACCACTGTCGAGCTTCTCAACTTTATGAAAATTTTCCAGTGATTGATTAAATTGTGACAGCATCATTAAAGAATTCCCAAGTGACCAAACATTCTCAGCTATCGACGGTGCATGATCAATTGCTGCTTTTATTACAACAACAGAATCATTGATATAATTTGATCGCTGAAAAATTGTTCCTAAGCTCAGTAGAGGTATATCTTTGTATTTTCTAGGTGCAAAATAAATAGCTCGTCTAGCACATTCTGAAATTAGTCGTTTTACTTAATTTAAAGTTTGGTTCGAGGAAATTTTTTCAAATTTACCAATTGCTTCTTTTGCACTGCCTTTGTATCTCCAATAAAATGATGCAAGAGTATATAATTTCCAGGAATTTGAATTGCTTTTTAGTTGAGTATAAATTGCAGATGGAAAATTTGATGATGAGATCCCCATTATGCTTGCTAAAAGTGATAAAAGCTTTTAATATTACAAAGGTATCTGCGTAACACTGAAAGACCCACTCCAGCAACTGTACACCAAAAATCTAGGTCAAGGTCCTTCTAACGTTAGTTTTTTTGCCTTATATCTAGATATTTTGTTCATTGAGAATCTCTTACAGCACAGTGTGCCAATAGACTCTTCCTTGAGAACAAAACAGTCTTAAAACTTCAAACAATGCTTCCAAAAATTAAGAAGCGTGCGTAATCTATTTTGTATTGCGATGTGACCGCAAAAACATTTGTAATCATTTATATCACTTCCTATTACTTCATGCAACAATTGTTATACTCATTTTCATATTATCTTCGTATACTTTATAGCCAAACAGATCTAGATTCACGACTTACATAAATCCTTGGTTCCGAGAGTTTCTTCAGGCTCCATTTTGAGTTTATTTCTCTTCTTCATTGCCTCTAAGTGCTCAAAAAGTCCGACATTAAAGTCTAGTGGATAGATTTCGTTACATTTTGGAAGCTGACTTTTCGCTGAAGACGACAATGCGTCAATATTAAGTTTATAGTTGATTCGATGAAAATAATGCTTTGTCAATTGATTGTATAGATCACTTTCGTCAATAAAGTATTGAGGAATGCATGATATTTTCTTGGTAAGTTCGTTGGAGAATAAATCTAATGAGTTCATTTTCGATGTCAAATTAGCTTTTATTGATACAAGCTCTTTCATTAAATCATCTAGCTTTTTCTACAAACGAATAATAAATACATATTGATATAAGCAATTCAATTAAGTTAATTGATCATATTGTATACAAACTTACTTTGTAAGCACTTTGATTAAGAAACGCGACTAAGTCATGCGAATTTTTCATGTAATACGGAGATGTTAGCTACAATGACAATTAAACACTGATTAAGTAATACACACGATTAATGGACAATTCGATCATACCAATGGAAGAATTATGTTTAATTCATTATTAAGTTGCCAGTGAGTTACTCCAAATGATAAATTACATGAAGAGGGAAAGGCGAGTAGAAAACAGAAAAGTGATAATTTTGTGATGTCAAACATACTGTTTAAAATGAAGGAAGCAATTGTCAAAGATCAGATTGTTGAGGAATTAACAAATTTGCATATGATTAACATACATTGTGATACCTTCTTGTTCAGGAATTTTTGTCAAAAATTATTGAGTAATATTAATTTTAATGATTTTGTTTCATATTTGTCCACTTAAACGACTATATATTGTTCATGATTTGTTTGTATGATGTGTATTTGTTCTTTTAATGCTCTTTACATCTATTTTAAATGCTCTAATTAATGAAATTTAGTGGAAATAGTATTTTGTGAATTATTTAAAACAATAACAATAAACGTAGTTTGAGGCCCTCGAAAATTTCAAATAGTTTTTTACCGTTACAACGAGAAACTTCAAGATACAAAAACTTTTTAAAACTGATTTTAAAGTGCTTAATGGGCTGATAAAATATTAAAAGAAATTTCATTAAACAGTTGTTTATTGTTTATCAACATAAATAAAATTTTATTTCTGATGTGATTTTGAAATCAACGTATAATGGCAAACATTCATAATTAATCACTATAGAAGTTCTACAATTCTATTAATATAATTTAACTTTTTAATTTCTTTTGGAAGATTATAAAATAACACATTCTTCATTAATGAACTTTATTATCTCAAAATATTGTTTTCTTTCCTCATTCTGGTTTTTCATGTCATTAAAAAATTAAAACTCAAATGCACCTTGTTATTTATCATCATATTGAACAGCTTTCAATTAACAAATCGATATATACTTATAGTATGTTTTCAGGAATTAATTTTTTAATTATCTTATTAATTATTGTTGATGTTATTTGATCTAGATGCACGCACGTGTTCTTGCAAAATATTTTTTAACGGTTGAAAATTTTGAAAATTTCGCAAAATCACTAACACAATGAAAGAAAATGTTGAAATTTTGATTCACAAATTTAAAGATATTTCGTGCCTTATTGTGCAGCAGAAATATGGCAAGTGCTAATTGATACAATATTCCATGACTTAAACCTAAAATTGACTTCAAAAATTGTGTCTGTTTCATTCAAAATTCCAAATTAAATTTTCAATTTCTCATTGTTTACAAATTTTTATTGTAAATACATTGCACGAACACATCCAGACATCCAGCACTCTCGTTTTTATTTAATTGGGGAAATTGGGTGTAAAACATATTGCTCAATCCTTTTCAGTTTATTTTATATGGCAAAGATAGAAGAAGATAATGTATTGTGCCAGATGAAAACTCCCATTTTCTCGCTCAAACAACACTTAATTCATTATCATCAATTAAAGATTTAACCCTGCTTGCAGAGTAAGTTTGCAAAGCGGAAAACGCGGAACCAAGCAAAATTGTTCAAATTCAACTTCTTCAATGGTGTTTGTTGCTGTTCTGTATTCTCCTGAACTGACTGTTCTCCCTCAGCTGATGTTGCAGCCTTCTTTTCTGGTGTCTTCTTTTCAGTGGATTTCATCGATGGTGAAGTCATTTTTGTTTCTTATTAGCTCTTTCTTCGGTTTCAAGTCTAAAAAATAAAAGATGCATACGTAATGTTATTAATATGATATTTTAAAATATATTGTGGAAGGTCATGTATGAGTATATTGTTCGTTCTCTCATTTTCCAATGCGCAATCTCTCTTCTCATTCTCTCTAGCCCCTTCCTTTTCTAATAAAAACTTACAATTTTTCATCATTTACAGAAAATATATTGTACAGCATAAAATAAAGTAAATATATAGCCTTATCAAAGGATGGAGAAATAGATTGCGTCGTACACGTTAAACATAAAGAATTTTACGCACTTAATATGATACTTTGGGATACGACGGAATCGATATATTCATTAAAAGGAGTTCGTCATCAATTTATACATAAATTTCATTTTTAACGAACTTTTCAGATTTAAACTTTATTATATTTTAAAAATGGTTGGGAAATTGACAGTTTTAAAGATTGAACAAAAAGATCGTTTTAGATGCGTCAAATATTAACTGGATGTTGACCAGGCTATTAACTAGAATCTCATCTTCAATTCACACCAGATGAGGCTGAGAATCATAGCTTAATTAGGCTTCAATTTCAAGGAAACCTTCGAAAATGATTTTTAAATTTTTTAAATCCGTTGTAATTTATTTCCAGAATAAATCAACCTTGACTAGGCTTTTATAATCAATTATTAATTCTTTTGTTATCGCGTATATCAAAATATGTTACACAATACAATTTCAGCCAATAAAACATCAATTAAGTGAAACATGAATCAGAACTATCAATTAAATCTTCTTGTATTTTGTTTCTTCTTCCGATGTTTTCTTACTACGCAATAAAATTCATTCAAATTTATGATTTTATAGCTCGACATCATGCAATATACGTAACACGTTACATTCACGATATCATTTTATGCCTCTCTTGTCATTTTATGGCAAGCATTATATTTTCAAAAAACGCACACTAATTTAATTAAAAAGATACTTTTTATGTTCTCTATTCTTTTCTTTCCCGCTAAGTGAATTTACTTGGATAGTAAATTATTTGTTCGTGCATGCACGTGAAAAAAAAATTGCTCGCCTGAAAATTGTCAATTAAATTTTCACAGTCATTTGTGGCACTAAAAAGGGAAATTATGTAGGGGGCTGTTCACTTATTACGTAACGAAAAAATGACTTTTTAGACCCCCCCCCCTCGTAACAAAATTTGTATGAAAAAAAAAATTTCCTTGTTTGAACCGTAACAAAATCTTAGACCCCCGCCCCCCCCCCCTAAAAGCGTTACGTAATAAGTGAATGGCCCCTAGGTCAATTTGGAAGATTATATTTTTTCCAACAGCTTTTTATTCACGAAATGCACAGAGCAAGCTCAAGAAAGCAGGATTTCTTGCAATTAGTGCATTTGCGGTAATTCGATGCTGTCAGTTTTAATTTCACACGTCAAAAAGTCTCTTTGAGTGATTTCTTTAATGTGATTGTAACTTGTTTGTAACTTATATTTGTAGTGTTTTTATGGTTTCTGTCGATTTTCTCATTTCTCATTTCAGTTTACAGTCAACTTAATATCTGCTCCTACGCATTATGTCTAATTATTTACCTAAATGCACACACGGTAGGCACAAACGAGACACTCAAGAGAGCAATTCATTTTTCAACAAACTTGAGCAGTTGGATGTACAGCTGTGTGGTCTATCAAGACGCATTTATTTTGGAAATAATCAATTTATGATTTTAAATTAAAATTCAAAAATATAACGGATTTTTAAAATTTGAATTGACAATTTACACATGAACTCAACTGAAATGAATTTCAACTACTGATCAGACTTTGTTTGAATTTTAAGAAACCGGTAAAAATTATTTTTCACTTAATCTGCTTTAATTAAGTAGAGCTTCTAGCCAGTCTGACAAAACATGCACATCATCACATTCAATTTCTTAATTCATAATAAAAAGCATAGTTGTTCGCGATTTAATAAAGGAAAAACGCTTAATTTCATAAAAAATTTTTTAAAAAAAGCGAATGTCGACTACTGTCTTGACCCACATCGCCTCTACACACTGTAATGCCTCCAACAAATTTTCAGTTTTTTGATGTTTTTTCTTTTATTTTTTTAAGTGTCGCTATAAATGTTTTTAAAAAATGTGTCTAATGAATTATAATGTATCATCTTTTACTCAACAACAAGAGAAAGGAAGAAGATTTATGACTAGTTGGCTAGAGGAGCTTTTGGATGTTATGACTACTTTTATATAATAATTTGTATTTATATCAACTTTTCATCGCTTGACTACTTTATATTCTGTGCAGTGCGGCATAAATGTTTTATTAATTCTTTACGACTTCTAAGGAATTTAAATTGCAAAAAGAGGGTCAAAAGGGATGAGAGTTTATTGAGGAAATTAAGTCTTGACATTGGAGAGCATCTTGAAAATTGCAAATTCTCTTCCTAGATACTTATTGCTTTTAGAATTAATGAAAAATCGTTACTTGAATGAATCGTGACCTTCACTTGTAAGTTTTAATCATTAGAGACAGTAAAATCCATTAGTAAATTACGCCTTTACTCGTGTTCTTCCTTACATCTCGTGTCAAAAAATGTAATTCATCAAAAAAAATATTTCACAATGCTTACAACCACTTCCGATGATAAGCAAAAATGACCTTCACAACTAGCTGCTTATTATCGTTTGTTGACAAAAGTTGTAAGACCAACGCAGTTCCTTGCTAATTACATGTTAATCATATTATTAAAATTAAGGTGTCCAAAATGGCATAGAATGCACGACTCTTGTTCTTTGTGAAGCTAATTATCATGAAATATATTTGAATATACTAATTCTTTATTAATATATGAATATTATTATACTTTTACAATTCTTTACCGATTAATTAGCATCACATGGCATAAAAGTCTTCTCAATGCATTTAATTACAGTATTTTATGAACAAAAAACCACAAGTTATGGTTTGAAGTGAGAAAATGAAGTTTTTCTTGAGTCTTGAATGTTGAATCTGCTTTCGTTTAATGCTGCCTACATTAAACTGTAGTTTTAAGCAGAAACGGCAGCTCAATAATGCTTAATTATAGTGATTTTTGTGGAATTTTCATTTTTACATATTGAGTGTGTTTAGCAACTTTTAATTGAGTTCAAAATTTGAACTTCAGAATAATTTGAATTTGAAAAGTGCGTTAATCGAGAGTACTTTTTTAAGCCTGTTATTTTGAAATAATTGTGCTGTAATTCATAGTGTGAATTGAATATGAGTTACAATAAGACATTTTTCATGCACACTTTGTAAATTTGATCTGTTTGACTTTCTCAAATTTCCTCAAAACAGAAAAATAAAGATTTATCAAGACATTTGTTATTCTATGCTTGTTTTAAGGTCAAACAAAAAATACCTATTTAATGATCACAAATAATTATTTTTGTACATAAAAAATGTACATATTTTTCGCTTATGAAGACCTAGAAAAAAAAGTTTTTCTCTCTAAAGAAAAATCGATTTCATTCTCAATTTTTCACTCCGTCTCAATATATAGAGCTCTATTTAGATAATTCATTGAAAAACGAGTAAGCAAGTAGTGTTTGGTGCACAACAGAAAATAGATATATATAAACTACATTATACATTGTTTGCTGCTGTCTGCCAACGACTTAGTCATAAGCAAGGCTGCAACTATTACGTTATCTTATCAATAATTAATAACACGCCTGTTTAAATACTCAATGCGTATCCATAAATATAAACAAAAAAAAAAGTTTCTTTCACTTTGCAGATATGAAAACGCAACATAAAAAAAATGGATGTCTGGCATTTAGCGGCATTTAATGAATTCATTTTCTTAGGCAATCCATTCAGAGGAGAAAATAGATTTTGTGGTCATGTTGGTTGACTGACTTTTGTGTTAAGGAATTAGATCATTAGTCTAGCACTTTTACTTTTTAAGTCAATTTTAAATTAATTTAAAATTTCTTGTGTTTAAGTCAATTTTAAATTAATTTAAAATTTTAACGGTTTCTCTCAATTTGAATTTGAAAAGCTCCAAAGGCTCAAAAAGATGCGAAAATTCAAATCTTAAAAACTCGTTGGAATTCAAACTTTTCAAAAACCGTTAAAAATCTTTAAAGGAAAATCGCTTTAATTTCAATCTCAAAAACTATTGTAAGAAATGCGTTTCTGCTATCGATATAACAACAACAACAAATAAACTCAATTTCTCTGTAAAAAGCCAATACCGTATATTGAAAAACTACTAAAATTGATGCCTTGCTATTATTATTGTTATTATGGATGATGATTAGTAGAAAAAGTAGAGGAAAGAGCATTTTTTATGGAAGCGCATGTTAATTGAAAACATCCCCCATCATCATTGAAATGGCCTATGATTCTTCTCTTTTCTCATAGCAGATTGTTTTAGGTGAATTCTCTCCTTTTTTTGAAACATGGAGGATGTGACATGAAGAGCAAAATTTTAGATTACATAATAAATGATTTTGGTAGTAATCTCAAGAGTCACATCCAACGCATTTCTTTTTAAAATGAGTTGCAAAAGAAGGAACTTTTTTACGTAACACAAAAAGTTTTGGAATTAAAAGATTACTTACGGCAGTTATTAGAATATAAATATCCTGTTTTTGGCTTTAATCACTTAAATAATTTATTTGGCTCGGGGTAACAATTGATCAAATTTAATTGACCTTTGATATACGTATTGTACGGTAAGTAATAAGAACTTCTTCCTTCGACTAATGTATATTTAATAATATTTTTTTTTCTTTTTTATTTATATTTATATATATTCAAACACTCAGAGAGAGCTATAAACAAAGCGTTTGCTCCTATCAGGTTCACTTTAGTGAATGAACAAACGGAATAGACGAAAAAAAATAAATGATCAAGAGACTCATTGGAAATTTGAGTTGGAATATTTTGAAGCGGTAAATAAACAGAGAGAGATTTTGCGTTCAATGTACCTTTAATGGATTGTTTTTATTGACATTTTATTATCTAATGATTGTTGAAGCTAGGTTTGTGCTATTTCTAAGATAATTTTTGATAAAATTTCAGAAATTTAAGCGTTTAAAATAACACCACGTGTTACAAAAGTCAACAGAAAATTTGAATTTTCCCGCAATTATTATTGTGTGTATTAACGGCTTTTTAAATTTTAAATTTTTATGTCTAGAATAGTATCATCCCTTCATTTGTTGTTGATGAAATTTGCTCGAAGAAATTTAGATTAATTCACATATTTTCAATGGAAATAGACAAGTTAAAAGTGACAACTAGTTTAGATAAATGGGTAAGTAAGTCGAGGAAATTGGAGGAATTAAATTTACAGCTTAAAATGAGTAATTATGAATAATTTTAATTTTTTGAATTTTCCCAAAAATTAAAGATCAAATTAAATGTTGGTGGTAATCTCTTCATGACATCCAGAGAGACACTGCTGAAGGATCCAAACTCAATGCTGGCACGACTAATATCAGATTCAGATCTTATATCCGATAAAGGTAAATAATTCAAGTTAAAAATTTTATGATCCATAAATCAGCATAACTCAAATTATTTATGGATTAATTACTTCCCACAGACGAAAATGGAGCTTATTTAATAGACAGAGATGGAAAATATTTTTCACCAGTTCTCAATTATTTAAGACATGGAAAGCTAATTCTAGACAATGGATTATCAGCGGAAGGAGTCTTGGAAGAAGCTGTAAGATCAATTAGTCATTTACGTACTGTAATTAAAAATCATTAAATCGATTTTTCTTCTTATATCCTTTTAGGAATTCTATAATATCACCCACCTTATAGCTTTGGTAAAAGAGCACATTCAAAAGAGGGATCTACAAACGTCTGTGGTTGATAATAAGCAACGAGTCTATCGTGTATTGCAATGTCAGGAAAATGAATTGACACATGTCAGTATATTTGTGTTTCTTGTTTCTTTAGACACGAAATTTCATTTTATAATTGTATTATTTTAGATGGTTTCACAAATGTCAGATGGCTGGAGATTCGAGCAACTCATTAATATTGGTACTCAATATAATTACGGATCAGAAGGTAAATTGATTTTGATTATTTTGTGTGTGTTCCAAAGAGATTTAAAGTCATGTGCATTTTCACACAAAAAGTCCTGTATTTTAAAATTTTAACGGAATTCAAAATTTCAAATTTTTTTGAAAATAATTTTGACTTGGATTTCAAATATTTTTCTACCGTTATATTTTGACTATTTTTTGAACGTTTTTTGGAAAATGTTTCAATCAAAAAGTAAATCACAAATCCTAATTTTTAGAAAATGCAGAGTTTTTGTTCGTTGTCTCAAAAGAATGTTTATCAACGAATCCAAGAGAGCAGGAAAGCAATGATCGTGCAAAAGTGCTTCAACAAAAAGGCAGTCGAATTTAACTCGGATCGTTTAAACACGTGCGTAGAAAATTAACTCTTAAAATATATTGCGCAATTTATAGAATGATGATGACATTATTATTAAGTTTTGTTTTTCGTACAAAACAAAAAAAAATTCGATTTCAAATGAATATTTCATAAAACTTAACGCCTGAGGACATAAATGATGTTTTGTAATTTTAATTTTACTTTTTTTTCTATAAAATGAAAGTGCAAAAAAAAATGAGAAGATAATGATGAAAAATCAATTATTTTAGTAATTGATCACAGCATAATGCACACGTAAATGAAAAAGCTTTTTAAGTTCCATTGTACTGCCCACCGATTGTTTTTTTGGTGTTCCAATATATTCGTTTTATGTGTGCGATAACTATACACTTATATACATTTATATAAAACATATATATCTATAGACAAATGTAGGTGGACGTAGTAGAGAAATTATTTGAACCACCTAGACACACCGACTAAATTAATATACTCGTATGTGTATGAAACAGCACAACAAATATGTTTTATTTCCGGTGCATTTTACGCTACATTTATTACATTGCGAAAAGAATAATAAGACATTTTGACGTTCCGTGCTGCACATTGTGGGAGTTGTTGTTATAGAATAGTTATGTTGGGTCAAACAAGTATGACATCCAGAACTGAGAATGCTTTTTGAGCCTTAATTTGACTCGAAAACGACATATTTCAATGCACAGCTCGGTTCGGCTACTTTATTTGTTCGTTCCCTCAAATCAAAACGCACATCTTTATCAATCTCTAATCTTGTCAATGAAATGGAAAGGATTAATGAGATAAGAACTTTTATGGAATATTAGGAAATGTAAGTAAGTAAATAAGAAAATAAATGATGATATAAGAAATTAAAAAATACACACTATGCGCCCTACAGACAATATAAAGTATAAACTTTTTCTTTGCGATTTACCTGAATAAAAAAAGAGAAATTGCTTTAATGTTAAAATTGAAATTAAACGATTTTATTGTTTCAACTTACTAATCATTTAATTAAGTTAACTTTAAAAGTAAAAAAAAATTTAAATGTTTTAAGACAATGAGATGAAAATATTTGTAATAAAATCAGATTTTTAATCAAATAATGATTATTATTAATTCCTGTTGAGTAAGCTTTGTTCTTGAGGATTACAGACGTCATCCAATGCAAGTTTTGTTACGATCGTCTTAACTATTATTGATGGATGTTATTAGAGGGCATTTAAACACTCGATTATTGCTCATTAGCATATTGTTCTCAAAAGTGTGGTAAAGATTCGATATTTGCAGATCCTTAACAATAATTGCTGTTTATATAAATACTGGGGGTCCTCGATTTGAGTAGTTGTTTTGTTCCAAAAAATTTCTACTCAAATCGAATCTATTCAAATCGAGGCAAAGAATCCATACAAAATCACATGTTTTGTTCCAGAGTCCAAAAAATGTATCAAAACAATGAAAATTATGATAATTTTTTGCACATTTTACCTCGTTTCTTAACTTTACCTATGTGTTTTAGATAACTTAATTTATTTCGACGCATATTCATATTGTTTTTAAACAGAAATTCACAAGAAATATGTTTTTGAAACAAAACAAAAATATGAGAACCTTGCAAATGTTATTTAACCGAACAATTTGTAGGGTTTTTGAATTTGAACTTTTTAAAACCGTTAATTTTATATCAATTTTTTAAATTTTTACTTTAATTTTGTAACTTTAGTATTGATTTTTCGATCAACATGATAAGTTCACGCTTATTGCAGAATAATTTATGTTTTAAAAATATTTTCTGAAATGTTTTTATCAAAAATATTTGTTTTGTAAACAATTCAAATCGAAGAAATCTACTCAAATCGAATATTTTGGTGAGTAAAAAATTTTCTGTTCAAATCGAATCTACTCAAATAGAATCTACTCAAATCGAGGACCCCCAGTAGTCCATAAAGTTCTAAAATTCATCAATATTTGCATTTTGAAATTTTAACGGAATTTTAAAATTTGAATGCTTCAAAACCGTACAACAGTTTCTCGAAATTTCTTGAAATTTTAAAATTTGAATGCTTCAAAACCGTACAACAGTTTCTCAAAACCATACAACAGTTTTCAATCGGGATGCTATTTATTAATCAACAGAACATGTCATCATAAAGTTTCTTTAAAAGTCCACGAATAAATGTTATGAAATTAAACAAGATACACGTAGCTCTATATAGCAGCTGAAATTATCAATCCATCACGATCATCATGCAATGATGACAGTAAAAACCTTGAAATTTAAAATATAAAGTTAATGAGACTAGTTTGTCGTTCCTGTACGTGCAATTCGAACTGTTGGATAATAAATAATCAAGTCCGTTGAATACTTGAACAACCTCTATTTGCGTTAAATCTCATATTTTTTGTTTACAAGAGTTCCACGGGTCAACATCCTCGACTATTAAATAGACAGCTAAAGAATTTTTTTCTAAAAGAGAAAAATCAATGCGAATTGTACATGAAAAAATATTCTGCCTGTCATGTACTATGTATGTAGGTACGCATATCGATTAAATAGAGAATTTTAAGAACAGCAGATAAACTGAAAGAATTAAGCATAATAAGAATAGAAGAGTTAAATAAAGAATCTTGTTTTTATTTTTGGTATAAAGCAGAAGTACAAAAAAATGACCTTGACTTTGTGACTGCTTAAATGTGTAATGTTAGTGATGAGTACAATGTGCAAAGTGAACAAAATTAAAATTCAATAATTTTTTTCAAATTAATTGACGCCGAGGCTGTCAGCGAGTCCGGTAGCCTTTTCAACGTACTTTGTCATAGCCTCATCAGATGACATGCCTAATTATAAAGAAATTAAATTAATAAATCATAATTAAGTTAAATTATTTAAATGATTCTTACCCTTTCTTCCGTTCCAAGCCTCCCATTTAGCTTTTCCTTTAAAGTCAAGCATACCCGGCTTTTCTGTAAAGTAAATTGATATCAGCACGTGGGTATGACAAATCGTAAAAATGAGTTAATGTGCAACGGTTTATGGAGTTATAATGTATGTAAAGATAACGATATCGTATGATCTTCAACCTTTATGGACTTTGTAAAATCATACGCAAGCTTTAATGCATTAATAAGTGATTAAGTACGGAAAATTGACATGCAATTATATGAAAGTAAATAAATAATAAACACCTGTATTGTTATCTCCGACTGTTGCTTGCTTAAACAATCCATACAATTCCAAAAGATCTTGATCCGATGGCTATATTTGGAAGGAAAGTTTGGTTCTTATCAATATGAAGCTCATATCAGTAAATGTAATTTTATGTACCTTTGATTTTAAGTTCTTTACTTTTTCAGCGGCTGTATCAAAATCCTATAATTAATAGAAACAGTCTTAATAAGGTCAGGAATAAGGTATTAAAAAATTCATTTGGGAACTGTACTTAAAAGATACAGTTGTGGACAATTATTTATTCATTCAATAATTTTCATTTTTCTTTCATGCATTGCGGCTTTTCATATTATTTTCTATTATTTGACATACTTTAGAGTACTGCCAATGAATATTATTAGTGACTTACCTCTTTTAAACCCATTATTCTAATATCACTTGAAAATTATTTAATTAGACTGGAAAAGTTTTCAAACCTATTCGATCGATGTACTCGAAGCAAGTGAATGTGTGATTGAAAAAAATTGCCAAAGGAAGTGGAAATATCCGTCTGCAAGTGTCTAAAACGCTTTTTAAGTGCAGGTCCAAACATTTTTTTTTTGTAAACAAACTAGCAATTTGTTTAACGGATTTTTAAAATTTGAAGTTTCTAGCTAATCCAATGTCAACAATGTTGATAGTATTTTTTCATAGAATTTTTCTTAAATTTTGTTTGAATTAAAGACTTTTGAATATGAACATTATAGAATTGATATACATACTTTAAACCATACTGTGGCAATGTCGAAAATGACCGTTATTTTTTATTTGAAAAAAAAATACCGTTAAAAATTTAAATTCTAAAAAACCGTTAAAATACTAATGCTAAAATAAACTTTGGAAATCTAAAGTAAAATCACGAATTAGACATGGTTCAACAATTTTGCATATTTTTAACAGTTTTTTACATTCATAGGATCAGTAGGCATACGAAAGAGTGCTAAATTATTCGATCGCGATTTTCTACATGACTGAACACAACACTTATCCATAATAAAATATCAAATTTGTAAAATAAATCACTCAAATATGTTTTCAAATACTTTAAAATATCAAAATTGATTAAATTATGACTGAAATTTTTATTTGTTTACTTTTATTTTTTGATTTTTTTCAACGGTCAAAAAAAATTTAAAATTTCGACTTTCCTTCGACATTTTTAAATCCTTCGACACTGAGTGTCGAAGGAATTCGACACTCAGGTTGCCACAGTATGCTTTAAACATTAAAAAATCTATTTAAATTGACTATTAGACAAAGTGACAAAAGACAAGCAATTGTTTTAAAAAATTATGCTTAAAATCCGTTCAGTGAAAAAAGTTTTTTGTTCAGTCACCAACATTTTTTCTTTCAAATCAGTTCAGTGAACAAAATTGTGAAAAAAAAATCATAAAATTCTTGTATTTGTGAAGATCGCCATTACTCAAAAAAATAATTTACGAATTTGGAGTTTTAAACGTATCAATTAGTGTCAAAATATCATAAACGGTAAGTTAAAGTGATTAGTAATCGAGTGTAATTGAAAGTTTTAAGAAAAATAGTGAATTTAACAGGAAAAAATGTGTTGAAAAATCGGGAGTGTCGCCCTCAATTTTCAAAATGTCTAGAGCATAAAAATTTAAAAACATCTCACATAAACTGATTTGTGCATAAAGCTTAACAATATATAAAATAGTAAAATATTCAAATAAAATTAATTGAACAAGATTTAAAATAATTGAAAATGTAGAAATGTAAAGATCCAGTGAATTTGTTTGAAAACATACGTTTATGAATCACCATTTAAACTTTTTTCTCGTTTCTGATTGAATTGTGAGAAGAAAGACGAAAAGAAAAGAAAGAAAAAAAATTCCATAGAAATCGTAAAATGGAACATTGTTGAGTTATGCTCTGTGTTCGTTAAATTTATGTGAAATCAACAGAACACAAATAAACTATAAAAGAGAAAAGAAAGAATATCAATTAACGAAAATAAAACTATTTTTACTGTTTCCGATAATATTTTCATTGAAGAAATCAAGTCTCGTAATGTTCTTGTTTTTAAAAAAAAAGTGAAGCTTTATAAAAGAATTTACACATCCGGATAGATTATCAGTTCTCATATTTCATTCTTCGTATTTTAATAATTCTTTTTTTCTTCATTTTCCAATCTTCGCGTTTATATATCGTCATCTGCAAACAACATCATATTAGGTGTGAAAGGAGTAATTTGAACCTTGTCGCCCGTTAATTTCCATACAACATGAGCTATCAAATGTCACAAAATCGCACAAGTAAGTAAATTACAAAAAAGATTGACATTTATAAAGCAGTAAAATGACATCAAAGAGTTTATATTCCGTTGTGTTCGCAATTGAAAAGGGATTCATTAAAAATCTCATATATAATTGCAATAACTTCCACAATATACCCTGCAAAAAAAAAGGAAAAAATCATCCCTCATACTTACATACATACATACATCCATAAAACATATATCGCAAAGTGGATTTAGGAACTTGCATCAGCAGGGGTTTTCTAGCGTTCTCTTCTTTAGCAAGTGTTTACAAGGAATATTTCTGTACATGTTTATAGGAGAAGAAAAAAAATCCCTGCGTTTGTATTTTCAATAACATTTTTTCCTCTTTCTCCATTCTCGTTATGTTATTTTTTTTTTTTTCATATTTCTCTTTGATCTTTTCCTTCTTCATTTTTTCCCATATTTCAAGTTGATGATTCTTTTTTTTTTCGTTCGCTGTGTTGAGACTTAATGGTTTTTGAAGAAGGCACTATACACTCAACTATATTTTCATTCTCAATATGTATATCTGTAGATGTGTGTATGTATATTATACACTGTGCTGTTCTCTCATAAAAATCCATCAAAAAGGGAATTGCATCTACCTACTACTTTTGTGTGTGGATATCAAAGGAGAACTTTTTAGCCGACTTTGGAAAAATCCGAGCGTTTTTGAGGATTATTTGACTAAATAGCTGTTTGCACGTACCCAAATGGTGAAATTCTACCGTTAATTTATTTCTGTTTTGCTCAATTTCTTAATTCCAATCTTTAAATAGTATGAAAATTGAAATTTTAAAATTTTCTAGTCAATTTTGAAATTCAAAAAGTCGCTAGATGCGCTTAGTTCTTATTTCTACATTGGTTTTCAAACATTTCAATTTCTTTTGTGACGACTTGAGTGTATAATTTTCTTCCTTCATTTCTTGATTCTATATATTATCATCTATTGATTCTACTTTTTTGTCGATGCTGCTTTCATCTTTTATATCCTCATTTTATGACAATGAAAAAATATGTTTTCCAAGTATTTATTTTGTCCCTTAACTTCCTCTCATCTTTACAGTGTCTCATAATCCTTATCAAAATTCGGAAATGGCGATGGGTAAGGATCAACAGACATTAATGTGGCAACAAAACTCGTATTTATCTGGTGGCGATTCTGGTATCCATTCGGGAGCAATCACACAAGTTCCATCGTTGAGTGGAAAGGAAGAAGATGAAATTACCGGTGGAGATGATACATTAATGTTTGATCTTGATCAAGGATTTAATCAGAATTATACACAAGATCAAGTTGATGATATGAATCAACAATTAAATCAGACTCGTAGCCAGCGTGTTCGTGCTGCTATGTTTCCAGAAACTTTAGAAGAAGGAATTGAAATTCCATCAACACAATTTGATCCACAGCAGCCAACTGCTGTTCAACGTTTAGCAGAGCCATCACAAATGTTGAAGCATGCAGTCGTTAATTTAATTAATTATCAAGACGATGCTGATTTGGCAACTCGAGCAATTCCTGAATTGATTAAATTACTCAATGACGAAGATCAAGTCGTTGTATCACAAGCAGCCATGATGGTCCATCAATTGTCTAAGAAAGAAGCTTCACGACATGCCATTATGAATAGTCCACAAATGGTCGCAGCTTTAGTTCGTGCATTGTCAACGAGCAATGACTTGGAAACAACCAAAGGAGCAGTCGGAACTCTTCACAATTTATCACACCACAGACAAGGTTTACTTGCTATCTTTAAGAGCGGTGGCATTCCAGCTTTAGTTAAATTACTATCGTCACCAGTCGAGAGTGTTTTGTTCTATGCCATAACGACTCTACATAATCTTCTTTTACATCAAGATGGATCAAAAATGGCTGTTCGTTTAGCTGGCGGTTTACAGAAAATGGTTGCATTATTGCAACGAAATAATGTCAAATTTCTTGCTATCGTAACCGATTGCTTACAAATCTTGGCATATGGCAATCAAGAAAGTAAATTAATTATTTTAGCTTCCACAGGACCAATTGAATTGGTTCGAATTATGCGTTCATATGACTACGAGAAGTTATTGTGGACAACATCACGTGTGCTTAAAGTATTATCAGTATGCTCTAGCAACAAGCCAGCAATTGTTGAAGCTGGTGGAATGCAGGCATTGGCTATGCATTTGGGAAATCCGTCACAGCGTTTAGTCCAAAATTGTTTATGGACATTAAGAAATTTATCTGATGCAGCTACAAAAGTTGATGGTTTGGAGAATTTACTTCAAGGACTCGTTCATGTTCTTGCAAGCTCTGATGTCAATGTTGTTACATGTGCTGCAGGCATCTTGTCGAATTTAACTTGCAATAATCAGAGAAACAAGGTTACAGTATGTCAAGTCGGTGGTGTTGAAGCACTCGTTCGAACAATCATTAATGCTGGTGATCGTGAGGAAATTACAGAACCAGCTATATGTGCATTGCGTCACTTGACATCACGTCATCCAGAATCTGATGCAGCTCAGAACTTAGTTCGTCAAAACTATGGCTTACCAGTGATTGTAAAATTATTACATCCACCTTCTCGCTGGCCATTAGTTAAAGCCGTGATTGGATTGATTCGTAATTTGGCAATTTGTCCATCCAATTCATCACCGTTACGTGAGCACGGTGCAATTCATCATCTTGTTAGATTGCTCATTCGAGCTTTCCAAGATACTCAACGCGTAAGTCTCATTATCCTCAATATCATGTTGAATAGTAAACTTAAGGAAACCATTATAATTACAGCAACGATCATCTGTGGCCACAAGTGGATCTCAACAACCAGGCGCTTACGCTGACGGCGTAAGAATGGAAGAGATTGTTGAAGGTACGGTCGGAGCTTTACACATTCTCTCAAAGGATGAATATAATCGTCAATTGATTCGACAACAAAATGTCATTCCCGTATTCGTACAATTGCTGTTCTACAACGACATTGAAAACATTCAGGTAAATATCTCAAAGATTGATCTTTATTTGATCTTATTGATTATTAATTTCCGAATATTTCTCTAGCGAGTCGCTGCAGGAGTATTGTGCGAATTGGCAGTAGATAAAGAGGTTGCAGAACTGATTGAACAAGAAGGAGCAACTGCACCTTTGACAGAACTTTTGAATTCTGGTAAGTTTTAATAATAAATTTGTATAAAGCCAAAAATGATTAATTATATTCGATGCTTCACAGCTAATGAAGGAGTTGCAACTTATGCAGCTGCTGTCTTGTTCAAAATGAGCGAAGATAAATCTTTGGATTATAAGAAACGATTCTCAAGCGAGCTTACTACTTTACCAGTATTTCGAGATGATCAAATCTGGAATAATGGAGATTTAACAATCGGACCAGACCTACAAGTAAGTAATTGTGACATAATACAGATTGTGTAAACAAAATTATCACCAAACAATTGCACATCTTTCATGCTAAGCAGGAAATTGAATTTCCTCTTAAACTTTTTTGTGTGAATTTTTTGTTTTTAAATTAATTGGCACATTCACTTTGTCACCATTCTAATTTGTTTCATCGGAAATGTTTCTCTCTTGTTGATAATTTGTTTCACATTCACGTTGAAAGAATTTATGCATATGAATCATAGAGCGTCTCGTTCTTGGAATGACACGATTAATCTTTTGAGTTTTTTCAATCAGGGTTGTTATATTGATTCTAAGTGTGTCCAGAAGGCATATAGTTTGACATACAAAGTACTCAGTTGACTCTAACAAGTGCCTTTATTTATCTTGATATTAAATGAACTTCTAGATAAGATCTTTATGTCATTTGTTATGCAAACAAGCTTTAGTTTGCACAGTTCATTGAGCTCATATGCATGAAAAATAAACATGGAAATAATGCAATTTAAAAAAATTAATTTTGTGTTACATAAAAAATAGGATATTTTGGCACCCGATCAAGCTTATGAAGGGCTTTATGGACAGGCACAAAATGGAACCAATGGGCGCTCATATCCACAAGGTAAATTTTGTGTTAATAGCAGTTGGATTATGCTAGAAATATATGCTAACAAATTTACACACACTTAATGCACATTTATGCAGAATAATAATAATAATAATAATCATTCACAAAGAAATAATATTAAAAGGTATAACGTAATGACTCTCTCTCTCTCTTTCTTCTCCCTTTTTCTCTCTATTTTTCTTATGGAAATGCAGCTAAGCCCGCATAACATATATCGTCTTTAAAGTCTAACAAGAAGAAATAGAGAAAGCACTAACACTCTTTTTGCTAGACTTTATTCGAAAAACCATTTTTCAAAAGAGAAAAAAAAAACTAATTTAAAAATATTAAAAAACTGAATTCAGCCAAAAAAATATGTATTACAGTTCTTTTAATAAAGAAGTATTTGTATATTTCAAACTTAGTATACATAACATTGATATTAGATCTAACACATTATGCTATACATCTTAATCATTTGAACTGGAAATTAGGTGAATATCACGTTGATGATTGAAGATTTTGTTTTTTGAGGCTTTATTTGAGTCTTTTACTCAGTTTTGGTTGATTTTATTTAGATTTTGATTGCATGCTATTACTAATTTTGTTGATTATGATCTTTGTCAGTATTCAAGAATATTTTCGGATAAAAATTGAAACTATTGTGGAAAACTTGATGTCTGACAAAAATCCGATTTTCGCTTGTCAAGGAAACTTTTTCAGTTCCTTAATTGCAAAAATGTCAAAATTTTAATACTGAATCCTTTATTTCCTGATATAGGATATGATACATTACCCATCGATTCAATGCAAGGTTTAGAAATTGGTGGAGGTCAGCAGCAACAAAATTTGATGGGTGGAATGAATACAGGTCCACCAACATCACCAAATATGATGGATATGGAGTGTGTTATTGGCGAAATGGATGCCAGTGAATTGACATTCCAACATCATATGGGAAATGATTCAATGATGCCATCACCACCAGCAAATGACAATACACAAGTTGCTGCATGGTACGACACAGACTTGTAAGCGTTGCCGAAAAGGGAAACAACAAATTTTAACATTTTAATGATTAACTAGCAACTTTTTTAAGTTAAGAATCATAACAATCAAAATAGATTTTTTTTTCTATTATTTTTACAGTAAGTTTTAAGTTTAGGACAAAATTTTGACTTATATTTTTATTATTATTTTAAATATTTTTTTATCAAAATCTCGACTTGTTTCGAGCTGGTAGAAGAGATAAAAAAAAATCTTTTATTATAAATGTTTTTCGTTCATAAATTGTGATAAGCACTGAATCGAATTGATCATATCCTACTTCCACAATCTGCAATTATTGATATACAAAATGAAAAAAATATACTTAAAAAATTTTTAAATCTAGGAATTTGGGGTTGGTTTGGACAAGTTTGACAGTCTTTTTGGAGACTTGAGGTGTGAAGGAGGTCCTTTGATGACCCCTTGTTCGCTGAAATTAATTTTGGATTAAGCTTTTGTATGGAAATCTAAAATGTTTCCAGAATTGAAACTTTAAATCGGTCTTTAAAGTCCATTACAAAAGTGTAAAATCAGCTCCAAATTCTTCGTAATTTTGCAAAATTTCCTAATGTTGAAAATTTGCATAATTATGATCGAACCATTTAATGAGAGGTTTTCATAGAAATCTCAAAATAAAAATTTAAATAAGATGAGAAAAACAGGGTGAAAAAAATTATTAAGCAACAACACAGAATTAAAATTAATTAAATGTCACTAGATTCTTTATTTTTCCTTTCCTCTTTTTTCTAATCAACCATAGATAAATAAGAATTTAACGTAAACGACTACTTACACTTCGTAAATTATACACAATGATTGAAATTTTGACACAAGAAATAAGAATATCTGTGAAAATAAAAAAAAGTACATAAGATATACACATACATAACGTTTTGATGTAACTTGCTGAGGAAGAAAAAAAAAAAAGTTGGACAAGCTTCAATGCAGAAATCTTCTTTTTTATAGAAAATTAATTAATGTAATTCTTGATGGTTAATCAATTAATCATAAGTAGTTTGGAACTCTCATGAAAATATCTTGGTTTGATGCTAGATGAGCATCATTCTGACAAATTTTTGAGAATTTCAAGTCTCATTGAAGCATTCATAATCTATATTAATATTAAGCATTAAATTTAGCAGATCAAAAATGTTTCACCTTTCTTTATTTTATATCAATGATGAAAACAAGATAAATTATATTTAAGTTGAAATAAATATGAAGAAAATCAACAATCTTTCGATCTATATATGATGATGATTCGTGAATTTTAAAACACATTTAAAAGATATAATAAAAAATAATTTTAAAAAATTGTAAATCAATGCGTTTTATTTCATTTCCTGGATGAATCAGCCACACAAGGTTGTTTACTGAACATTGTGACTCAAATTCATTCGTTTTCTGCAGAAATCTTGTCAAGTTAAAGTAACTGAAAAATCAAACTTTCGTAACGTATTTTTAAAAATTTGAAATTCTGCTTTTGTGTCAGAAATTTTTTACAGTGTAATCGGATTAAAAAAATAAATCCTTCAGTTTTTCTCTGTTCTTTTAAAAGATGTCGCTGAACAAAAAGGATTCTTTCAAAACTTAAGCAGACAGTATTCTTAAAATCCTAAGAGTCTTTAAATTGTGGACAAGAGAAAAGAAAATTAGTACTTCATTTGAAAGATCATTCAACATTTTAGGAGTCGAGAAGGTTGAGAGTCGTTCACTGATTACGGTTCGCTTATTTTGGAGGAGAAATTTGATTGGTGGTTCATAAATGATGTCAGACATTTTAAGGGGAAAGAGGTCTGGTGTTTTGTGACGATTCAAACAAAAGAAAATATATGACTCCAAAAAATAAGTCTCAAGACTCAGGAATGGACTACAATTGAGAACGTCACCTTAGGGGCCGTTCACTTAATACGTTACGCAAAAAAACGACATAAATTATTAAAAAGGTGGAAAATTTAAAAAAAAAATTTTTGGTGTAAATTTGTACTTCTTGACACCCCCCCCCCCCCTATATTACATTTTGTTACAATTTTTCGACCCCCCCCCTATGTTACATTTTGTTACAATTTTTCACCCCCCCCCCCCCCCTCCCCCCTAAAATGCGAACGTAATAAGTGAACGGCCCCTTAATAGAACAAGAGAAATTGATGAAAGGATAAAAATAAACTTTTTTGCTTGATTCACCTCTAAAGTTTGGTAAATTGTAAACGAATTATCTCCTAAATGCTATGGTCAGTTACAAAGCTATATCCGTAATATCCTCGTCAATGCCAACAGAAAATAGACGTATAAAAACAATGACGTATGAAAACACCTACAAACTACAATATTTTCACCTAGATGTACATTGAACCGAAATTAGGAGCACACATGTGTATGATCTAATGTACCTGAATGATTCTTATTGCGTCATTATGAAATTATTTGATTAAATTGAAATGAAGAATGATTAGGGTTGGAAATTTGAATTTGACTTGGCAACTACTGCTTTTTTTCGAATTTGGAAACAGTTACTTTAACTTAACAAGAGCTATTCAATCAAAACAAAAAATCGACAAAATTACCAGAAATCGCAATAAATCATTCACAATGAGCCAGCACAACCTCATCTATAATTAAAATTCTCTAACTTAACGAACATCAAAACTTTAGAATTTAGAGCAGAAAGAAAACTTTATTTTCGTTATAACAAAGAAAATCATTTCTTTCGACAGTTTACAAAGCCACATTTACATCCCCAACATCACATATGAATCATCTTCATGACTGCATGATAAATAGCAAAAAAATTCTGAAAAGAACGAAGGAGATATAAAGTTTTCAAACTATTTACACACTTCTTACTATTCACATGATTAATGCGCTTCATCGTATTGCTGATATAATCTGAAATTTATGTGAATTTAATTAAAATTTATCGTTAAACATAATGGGATCAGAAATATCTCGTTTATTTGATTGAATACTCTAGCTACATATATAAGGCATATATGCAAAGATGAAGAAGATGTAAAGAATTTTATTCAACACACAGAATATAAATAATATTATTATTGAAAAAAATATAAGAAAGGAGAATGAAAAGATTGAGGAACGGAAGCAAAAAAAAAAGTAAATGTTGGTAGACTTGGCATAAAGCATGAAAAGGAGGATCAAAATCCATTTACATTTAAATCCAGCAAAGCTTTATCAAATACACAAATATATAGTTTCTTCTTTCTTTTCGTGCATATATAGCTTCATACTTACTTGCCGCTCTATCGATCAAAGCACTTTCTTAATCGAACTAGTGTATCGGGTAGAAACCCAATGCGGATATATTTACACCGTACCATCAAAAGTCTTATGGATAGACCAAGATTTGCTCAGCATAAGTTTGAAGGGTGGCCGTGAAGTACGGCCGAGACCCATATCGACACAGTTCAAAAGTTATACCTAATTTATGTCATAATTATGTCAGCTACAAAAACACTTAGTTTAAATTTTGTCACCCTCGGGAACACTATGAACCAGTATAGCTGATTTTGGTCCAAATCTCGGCCATACTTCACACTTATTTGAACCACATTTTCTCGTAAATGTTAAAATATTATTAAAAAGTAATTAATCCTTAATTATGTCGCTATTTTGTCAAGTGTTTTAAGATAAAGAATTTGTTTTTTGGTTTCCACAGTGAAGAATATGAACAAAATTCAGATGGGCGAGTCGAAATTTTAGATTTCGATTTTTTTTTTAAGCTATGCATTACAAAAAGTAATATTGGTATATGATTTATGTCAGAATTATGTCAATTCAAATAAAACATCCAAAAAATTTTTTTGACAAAAGTACACCATAGAAAATCAATTTTCAATTTTGGACTAGGGGCGACCCTAGTCAAAATCAATTTTGTCACTTTTTTCTTCGAGGGTTTATACAAATGGATTGAAACTTTGCATAAATATTCAAATGTTTAAAACAAATACAAATAAAATATCTCAAAATTTTTTTGAGCAAAGAACCAAGTAGGAAATACATTTTCAATTATGAACTTGGGACAGGTCCAGTCAAAACCTAGTTTTTCACTTTTTTCTTCGAGGATAAAATCAAATACAGTTAAACTTTGTATGAGCATTCTAATCTTCAGGTCACACATTTCTGAATTAATAAAAATCATTTTTTTGGACAAAATTTTAAGTCACGTTGTTTTTGAATGTACAACCAAATTTATAAAATTTGGGTCTGACGACATATAGAATACATTTCTTGCTTTAGATATTTAAAACTGTTTTGTATAAATATTAGTATACTCACACAAAGTTTCACTGTAATTTGATAAACCTTCGAAGAAAAAAAGTGAAAAACTAGATTTTGACTAGACCTGTCCCAAGTTCAAAATTGAAAATGTATTTCCTTCTTGGTTCTTTGCTCAAAAAAATTTTTTTCATCCAAAGTTTAATTTAAAATAAAAAAAAATCACAGTGAACTTTTAATTTGAAAAATTCGTAAGAAAGGAAAGTTTTTTGCTTTTTCTGAAGCAACGGCTGTTCCTACCTTGCCCAAAAACAATACAGCTCTTCTATAGAGCAGCACGGATCAAATGTAAAAAACTAGAAGTCTCTACGATCTCTCGTTATTGAGATTTCTTGCTGATTAACTTGCTTGCTTGTTTGCTTACAGAAAGCGTATTTTGCGATTTTCTCAGCAATGCCACAACCAATTTGAAATCTGTTTTTTGAAAATGATGTAAAATTTCAGGCACAAACTTTTTTTCTGTGACCTTTTATAACCAATTTTGCTTTGTTTTCTCACAAAATGCGAAAAACTGATTTTTCAATCTGAACAAAACCAATAGATTCACACGTGAAAACGGTGTGAATATAAAAAGATGGATTGCGTCAAGGAGGAAGGATGAATAACAGTCAGTGGAAAGGGTTTAAGGAAATAGTAAGCTATTCCCAATTGAGAAATGCTTGTGCTTTGAATCAATCAAGACGTGTGGAATGTCAAATTTAAAATATTCAGTTTTGCCTTTCAATATCAAGTCAAGAATTCCAAAAACAACTTTTGAATCTCAAACGTCGCTGATTACATTCATCGGAAGGTTATTGCTGATTTTTAGTTGAATAAGGATTGATTTCTGAGATTTGTGTGCGATTGAAAGGGCTTGGAATCTTTTTGGCTTTAAAATTAACTAAACGAAATCATCGAATGACCAAATTTAGATCCATTGAACTCTGTTAGAATGAAATTCTGAACAACAGCTAACCTTTAATCACTTGACCTACCTAAAGTTAAAAATCACCAAACCAACCAAAATACATGAGAAACCAAAGCAGTTGCTACCATAAGAGCTTATCCGAGTAAAACTATTCTCATTTCAAAAATATATAGAGCGAAACTATCAAATTGTATGATTTCAACAACATTGTCGAAATAAACACAAAACTAGTCTGCAAAGTCATTTGTGCATGCATATATGTTGGTTGATATTATACACCTACAAGAGGGAGTTTATGTTCTATCAAGAGAATTTTCGCTCGCCATCCTCTCAATTAATTTTAACCTTCAACATGAAGAATGATAGCCGTCCACATATTCATCACATCGTCGATGTTCTGATGAAAAACAGAAAATAGGAAAAAAACACAGAAAAAGAAATTTTTTTTTCATGGTCGATCCAACAACAGCACGAGGAAAAAAAAGAATCGTGAAAGAAAAGTAATGTTCTGCAATAATTGCTTTCAGTAAGCGATGAATATGACCAAAAAGCATTCTAGTGATTGAATGAGCAAATTGGGCAAATTATACGGTAAAAAAATTGTTCTTTTCGTTCGTGTATTTCCACTGTGTAGCATTGGCGTATTTTTACTGTGTATTGTTCCTTTCCTCGCTGACTTCATTGTAAATTTGAAGCTATGATACATTATGAAATTTTCACTGAAATATGTACTAGGTTGTTGGCTTTAAAGTCCTTGTTTCTCTTCTGTTGGTTTGGATTATGTCTGGTTATGACGAATGAGGCTATATTTTGAAATGCAGCAATTGAATTGTAAAGCAGCTTGTATAATGAAGTTCTTCATATTCAGTTTCTAGCTAACATTATCCGTTGTTAATTGAATTTTATGAATTCGCTAGATACGTGTAATTGATATCTGTTTTCTAAGTAATTGGCTTTATCTGTGTGCTGCAGAAAAAGAAACTCTGTTTGAACTTTCATATCGCCATTTTGCATTTCTGAGAAATTGTAAACAAATTGAATCCAAGCATATTCAATTTCAATTTTGAAATCTATGGCGTAAGACTAGTCACAAATCAGTGGAAAGTCATCAACAATGTTT